GAGCACTCGCAGTTGGTTTGTGACACACCAGCAGACTCTGTTATCAAATTCAGCAGCTGCATTTATCAGCCCCAGCAGCGCCTGGTGGAGGCTCTTGGCTGGAAGTCTCATTTTTCATGAGCCTCTGTGGTATGGGGAAGTGTTGGCAGCTCTGACCGTCTTCTGGGAGTCCTCCTGGGCAATACCTGCACACAGTGAAGCTGTTGGGTTTGGGGTGCCTGTGCCTCAGTCCCGGGGCCCACAGAGATTCTGACCAGGTCCCCCCAGTGCTGGTGATGGGAGGGAGAGCAGGGTGAACACAGGGCTCTGATCTTGTGGTTTTACTCTGATCAAACCCCTCTAAAGTTGGGTCTTCTCATTTCTCACTATATTCTTTGCACAATGAATTTCCCAAAGTAGCCTCTAGTCGCATCTCTGTTATCTTTCCATAAGAGTATGACCTAAACAAGAGAAATTCCTTTTAAATTCCTCTCCTACCATTTCAGTTCCACGTAGCCAAGATGCTGTTTTGTATTTGCACGTGTCCCACTTGGTGCCTGTGGACTTGGTGTCCATCCAGAGCAGGGTCCTTTCCCTCAACTGCTGCTGGGACCTGCTGGAGCGAGGCCAGAGGAGGCCCCGGAGCTGCTGCGAGGGCTGGAGCAGCTCTGCTCTGGAGCCAGGCTGAGAGAGCTGGGCTGGGGCAGCTGGAGAAGAGAAGGCTCCTGAAGGGGACACCTTAGAGCAGCTCCAGTGCCTAAAGGGGCTCCAGGAGACCTGGAGAGGGGCTTTGGACAAGGGATGGAGGGACAGGCCAAGGGGAATGGCTTGAACCTGCCAGAGGGGAGACTGAGATGAGCTCTGAGGTAGAAGCTCTTCCCTGTGAGGGTGGAATGAGTTACAAACAGGTTAAGCCTCATTTACATGTCCTGGTTGGACTCTGCAGCCATTTGGCCTCAGCAAGCATCAGGATTAAGTGACAAAACCCAGGTCCAGGAAGGCCTTTGGTCTGGTAGTGTCCCATTGCTTTCAGAGGGAAGGCATCACAAAACTTGGGCTTGAATGTTTTAGTACTTTTATATATTAATGACCAATATTCTGCTTTGAGCAGAATCGGGCCCAGGTGCTATTTTGGTGTGCTGGCAGGGGGCTCTGGCAGCAGAGCATCCCCCTGCTTGCTCTCATGGGGCACCAGCAAAGACAGGAAGTGTTAAACAAACCCCACAAAATCTGTGTCCTTTTAAACTTCCTTTCTAGGAATTCCAGTTTAACAGCTAGCTCCTCAGTGAGTAAATTCCTCAATTATCATAGAATCATAGAACAGTTTGGGAGGGAGCTTAAAGCTCCTCCAGCTCCAACCCCTGCCCCGGGCAGGGACACCTTCCACTAGAGCAGGTTGCTCCAAGCCCCTGTGTCCAACCTGGCCTTGAACACTGCCAGGGTTAAATACCCCAAATGTTTACTAGCAGAAGACTCAGTTAGGTTTCCAAAAGTTGTTTTAAAGGAGCACATGGTGCTGCAGAGTGCAGCCTTTGTGATCCATTGGATCTGTCACGGCCTTGAAATGGAAGAGACTCCTTGTCTGAGTCAAGGCACTGCAGGGCTTACATCAGAGGTGAGTAATGCTCCATGGCCTTTGCCTTGAATTCCAGGGAGTTTTTACTTTGTGTTTTCCAAACAATATGACATGCATTCCACATACACCTCCCATCATCACTGACAAGGAGAACCATGCTCTCAGTAGCCTGCCCTGTCCCAGCAATAAAGCAGGATGACTGAATAACAAACCTTTGCAGTCAGATTTATGACCTTTTCCAGAGAAAGGTGTTTATGCTGCGTCAGTCACCTCCTGCTCTTGAGTCATTCTCATACTGAATCACTAAATGTGCCTTCAAAATGAGTTTTAATATTTGGGTGCTACAAATATTAGTAATTCCTGGTGCATACTCCGTGTACGTGCTGTGGGGTGTCACAGCCCTGAGATGAGCAATAACTCAACTGTAGGATGTTCGATCTGGGTTAGTAACTGAGAGTTTGTGTTGTGATGTTGATGGAGAGCGTACTTCAGACTCTAGTGCAGCTCAGCTCTCCTCCTCACAGCCAGAGCGTGCTGTGCTGTGTATCAGCTGCCCTGCACTGGATCCTGGTTTGGATTGTGACCTGCTGCCTTGTGCATGGATTAAACAAGGGCTGCAAGAGGATCACAGGGCTGGAGGAGGAGCTGTTTTCATGCAGACAATCCTGGCTCCTTTCCTTTGTGCTGCTCTGAATGCAGCCCCGTGGAGCAGCAGGGGAATAGGTGCTGAGGGAGGATGAGTGTCTGTGTCTTTGGTTAGGACAGTGCCATAGTGGGAATGCTGCTTTGCAGGGGGAAAATCCTGTTGGTTCTTCAAGCTTTGCATTAACTCCCTTCCATGGGTGGTGAGCAGTGACCCATGTGCACCTCAGTCCATAGTGAGCTCTCTAGAGGGAACTCTGAGGAAACTCAGAGTTGATGAGGGGCTTGTGGGAGCTGGGGCAGCGATGAGTGCCATGGACGAAGGTTGTGTGACTGACCGGGCTGTGGTGGAGGTGAAGCAGCCGGGGTTTACCAGCCATGTGTGCACAGTCAGGGTGAGGCAGCTGCCCCGTGCGGCTGCTCTGCCCCATGCCCTCTGCTCTGCAGCAGCTTTACTCCTGGTAGTTGTGTGCAGAAACCCTGTATGTAAGTACTGAGAGGAGTGGAAGGTGCCAGCTCCACAAGCGGCGTGTCCCTGAAGTGGCTGGAGCTGCGCCTGCTGCAGGAGCTGGCACACACTCTAAAAGTACAAACAGGCCTTCTGTGCTTTCATGGAATCATCATAGAACCCCAGCCTGGTTTGGGTTGAAGGGAGCTTAAAGCTCCTCCAGCTCCAACCCCTGCCACGGGCAGGGACACCTTCCACTAGAGCAGGTTGCTCCAAGCCCCTGTGTCCAACGTGGCCTTGAACACTGCCAGGGATGGGGCAGCCACAGCTTCTCTGGGCACCCTGTGCCAGCACCTCAGCACCCTCCCAGGGAAGAGCTTCTGCCTCAGAGCTCATCTCAGTCTCCCTGGATTTAATAACCCTGGAATCAGTCATTTGGACCAGCATTTTAAACTAGTTCTGGGTTTTGTGCTTGTCTCCTCCTCCTGGACGCAAAGATTTTGGCCAGTGAGCTGAGCAGGCGCTGTTACGTGGTCACGCCGATTCACAGAGATTGGAGGGAGTCATCAGTATGTTCTTAATATTTGTTTCAGGAGCTAACTTCCTGAATTAACTCAGTTTGATTATGACAGTCCCTCCTACCTTATGTGAGCAGGAGGTGTTACCTGCCACTTGGCAGGTTTCTGCTCTTTGCCCAAGGCTGTTGCAAGGGGGGTCTCCCCACGTCCTGCCGTGGGCTGCTCCCCAGCTGTAGCTGCATCCCTGTGCTGCTCCCATGGCATCTCACCACCAGGCTCTGCTGGTGTCCACTGCAGAGGGAGAGAAGAGTGCTGAGCCCTGCTGAGCAGCGTAGAAGCAGCAGCGTGTGCCCGGCGGGGCCTGGGTGCAGAATAGCGCTGATGCAGCTGGCAGGGCAGGCACCGGCACCAGGGGAGGTGTGAGAAACCCGAGGCAGGCGAGGAAACGCTGCACGCAGCACTTGGAAAGGTCAGATGGAGCTACATGGGACTCGGGTCCTGCGATGCAGTGAGTGGCTTAAGTGCAGCACCACGGAGCCAGTTACTGCACTGGATCTGTGGAAACAATCAGCAGGTTTGGACATGGTCCTGCTACAGATTGTGTGCAAGGGCTGGCAGAGAAAGGGCAGTTTTGCAGGTCAGGGCTGTTCTAAACCAGCTGCTCTGTGAACTCCTGGGTACCCGAATTGTTTCCTAGAATCACAGAATCCCAGCCTGGTTTGTGTTGAAGGGACCTTAAAGCTCCTTCAGTTCCAACCCCTGACCCGGGCAGGGACACCTTCCACTAGAGCAGGTTGCTCCAAGCCCCTGTGTACACCCTGGCCTTGGACACTGCCAGGGATGGGGCAGCCACACATGTATGATCCTGGTTCATTTCTTGCACTTTGGGGGGGTCAGGAACACGTCTTCATCCTCCTTCCAGCTCTCAGGAAGCTCGTGGCATCCTGGCTTGGCTCCTGCCCTTGTGCTGCTTGGAGTGGGGGAACAAGCTGTGCTCGGGTCACTGCTGGACCAATGGAGAGCATCCTCTCTTCTCCCTGGTCACCGTCCAAACACTGTCCCTGCTTTGGGATTGATGCTTTGCATTCTTGCCCCAAGAAGGAAAGTCCTGGAGCAGCTCAGGATTTTTTCCACCACCCCCCATGTATGTGCACACAGGAGCAGGCAGCAGCTGGGAGCACATTCTGAACTTGGCCTTATTTTCCTTTTCCTCTCACATGTTGTGGAGCTGCTGCAGACCTGACACACAGCCCAGATGAAGGACTTGGAGAGGCTGAGCTGGCATGGCTGGTGTTGCTGTGCCTCTGCCCACCCTCCTCACTGCAGCAGCTCAGTGCAGGGACAGGAACCAGCCGTGAAACCTTCCTCCATCTGTGAGAGGGAGAAGATGGGCTGCTCCTCAGTCCCAGTGCTCTGACAGGCAGCAGCTCTGCTCCATCCCAGCCCTACCTGGGGCAACTGGCTCTTCCCATAGCAGGATCCATCCCACTGGTGCAGAGACTGACCCTGTTGCATCCAGCCCTGTGCAGGTGGCAGGAGGAGGGGTGGCTGTGATTCAGCTTGGGAGAAGCACAATCCATAAACTCCTATCACCCATTAGCACAGGGAAGAGCAGAGCAGAAAGATGCACAAGACCCAGTGCAGAGTGTTTTGGATTCCGAGCATCATTTGCTGAGCTGCTTCTCTGTTGTTGTGTGAAACAGCAATGGAAAAGAAAAGCACTTTCCCTGCAGTGTGGCGCGGGTGCCTCTGTGTAGAAGCAGTTGAACGTGTCCTGCTGCCTTCTGGCACAATAACGTGCTGTCTTTCACAACAGAACTTCACCACTTGCCTGAAAATGTCTGGCAAAACTGCTAGCACGACCAACAACATCGCTCAGGCCCGAAGGACTGTCCAGCAGCTGAGAATAGAAGCCTCCATAGAAAGAATAAAGGTGAGAGCACATCCTCCTTCACCCCTCCTTTTTTTGCCTTCTTGCTTTTTCCCCCTTCCATCTGTAGGGTGATAACAGTGTGTTTGTGTGCGTGCCCCACAGTTCAGTGTTTTCCCCATCTCAAAATACATCTGCGTTTCAGCCCAGCTGAATAATGTGAATAAATGTAATTCCTGTGGCTGCTTACAGCATCCTCCTCAGGGAGCTCAGTGCTTTATGGACTTGTAGGGGAACCAAAGCAAAATCCAAAGTGCAGCTCAGATGGGTGAAACAGAAGGCAGGGATGAGTTTCCAGTTTCATACAGATTTTGGGATTTTGTTCCATTGTTTGGATGGCTGAATGTGACATCTGCAAGGGAGGGAAGATGTAGGGACACTATAAAGATAAGAAGATGGCAGTAACTGGATTCCTTTAACATAAGGCAGAAAATAAACCACGCTTTTTTTCTAGCTGGCAGGGATGGAGCATTGGCTACACTGGTAATACTGCCTTTTCATGTTTTGCCATGCTCCTTGCATTGCTGTCCAGCCCTTTTTGAAGGCCAGCAAACCACATATACAGACCCACAGAGCAGAGGTGCGTGCCCTGCCTCAGTGGCTGGTCATAGAATCCCAGCCTGGTTTGTGTTGGAAGGAACCTTAAAGCTCGTCCAGCTCCAGCCCCCTGCCCCGGGCAGGGACACCTTCCACTAGAGCAGGTTGCTCCAAGCCCCTGTGTCCAGCCTGGCCTTGAACACTGCCAGG